TGCTTGTTTTGCACTGTGGTCAGCACAACCTGCACTCACGGCGGCTGATAATTCTCTCTGGTGGCCAGTTTATTTGTGTGTATTGCTTTGGGGGTTTTTGTTTTGTTTTCTAGCGTGTTCGCTTGTGTTTGGCGGAGAAGGTCTGCTTAGCTTTCCATTAGGCCAGCCTAGGTTGTGTTGGTAGTCCTTCTTTGTTGCTTCCGAGGTTTCACTGCGACTACTGGTTGTCAGTTTGGCTGCTCACAGACAGGGTTTACCGGCTTAGCAAACCCCCAATGCCTGGGCTTCCAGTAGGGCTTACAAACCCTGTGGACCCTGGAAAACCCCCATTGGGCTCAGGGATAACATGGATGTATCTTTCGAGCCCTCTCTCGCCTTGTGTAATGTTGAATGTTGCTCATTGCCCCTGCCTCAAGGTAACGACCACCTGTATTGCCTCTGTCATGCTGCACGTTGGGTCGGTGACACCTACGACCTGTAGTCTTGCAGGATTTGTTCCCCTCTTATCCTTCAGTTTACCCATTCCTTGTCTGAGGATGTTAGGGGTCAGGTAGCAGCTGCATTGCATACTAGATTCTCTTTGTTGCAATGGGCCAGGTTGTTTGCCCGGTTGAAAGCCCCGGAGATGCCCTGCTTGGGTTTTAGGAACCAGGATTTTTGAGCGTTGCTTACCTCAACCTGTGTTCCATCCACACCCTTGCTTCCTTCCCAGGTGGGTGTGGTTTGCCCTGCTCCTTCGCCCCTGCTTCTAGCTCCCAAAAGTCTGAGGGGGTTTCGGAGTTGGGGCAGGGTTTAGCTTGGGATGAGGCTCAGGTGGCTTCAGGGACTGCTCCTTCCAAACTGGGTATGGAGGTGCTTGAGCCCAATTTTCCTGCCGAGGCTTTGGAGTTGGCCCAGTAGACTCCCTTCTTTGAAGCTTTTCCCCAGGACTCCACCTTTTCTTCAAGGGTATTGGGCGTGGATGAGGGCTCTACCCTAGAGCCTGTGTCAGGGGTGCCTGGGGCTCTGGGGGGAGTCCGCTTGGAGTGCTTGGGCTCCTTTTGATCCTGCTTGGGCCCTTGCCGTCTGGGCAAGGGTTTATTGTTGCAGGGCCGGGGGTTTACGTATCCCCCTTTCCTGTATGAGTTTGAGTTGGGTGCGGCTCCCCCTCGGGTTCGTTTCCAGGTGCCTTTGTGTTCCTCAGATACGTCTTTCTGGAGGTTTTCTTCCTCTCAGATTTCCTTGGCGGAGGTTTGGGAGACCCTCAGCGCATACCTCCTGCGAGACCCAGTTTATGCCTCTATAATTGATCCGTCTTTGTCTGAGTTTGGTTCTTTTTCCTCGTACTGGGTGCGTTACAAGATTCCAGAGTCTTCCTGGCTGGCAGACTGCCCTTTCTTTTCTCTGGGAGCTTGGCGTAGGTTTTATCGCACCCGCACGCTTGAGTGGCGAGAGGTTTCTTCGGTATTGCAGGTCATCTTGGGAGGCTCCTTTGAGTTCTTCAATGAGTGGCTCTTCACTCCTGTGCTCTCTCGTGATGTGGGTCTGGTGCAGTTGCATGCTTAGGTTCCCACTCTTTCGGCTGCTTTGGCGGCTGATGACCTTTGGACTCGCGGGCATTTGGCCTCGGTCTTGCGTTTATTCGGTCTTCTGGAGTTATCTTCGGATTCTCTTTTAGAGGATGTGGGGGTGTTGAGCAAGGAGCCTTCGGCTGGAGTTTTGGTATCATCTGCCTTGCTGAAGCTGTTTGTTCTGATCCTCTGGGAGGCGGTCTCCATGCTTTTCATCTCTCGTCTTGCATGTCGGCAGGTCATGCTTGCTCTTTCTTTAGATTTGACTTGGGCCCTGGATCTTCAGTCTTCGTCGCCATTCTGTCCCCTTTTATTTCCAGAGAACTGAGTGACCCAATTTTTGTTGGTGACTTCTACTACCCTATTTCAGACTTATTGGTACACCGGTGGGTCGTTCTAGGGCCTTTCGGAGTGGGCGTGCCAGGGCTCGTGCTTTGTCAGATCGAGGTGGGCCTGTGGTGCCAGTTTCTGCGTCGGCGGGTTTCCTGGGGCTCTCTTCATCAGGTAGGCATGTTGCTCGCTCTATGCGGAAGGTGGTTTCTCGGCGGTCCACCTGGCCTTTCGTGGGTCGCCCTGTTGATCCCCTTTGATGGGTGGGGAGGCTGGCTCTTTTTGCCCACGCTTGGTCTCACAATTCGTGGGTGTTTCAGGTTATCTCTTCTGGTCTTTGGTGGTGTTGGGTGGCTCTTCTTCCTGTAAAGGGATTGGGTCTTTTGGGCCAGGCTTTTTCCCAGTTCCTCTGTCGGGTCATCTTGGAGTGGGTTCGCTTGGGTGTAGTCGAGACGATTATGTCCCTCAGGTGGGTTTTTTCTTGTTTCCGGTTCCGAAAGGGCACCTTTGGATCTTTGGTTCATTCTGGACTTGTATTTCAAGCGGGAAGATTGTGCCTCTCACAGCTACTTGATCACTATGACAAAGTCACTGAGGCATTACAAGAAAAATAAAATGCTGATGTGGTATACATGGACTTTGCAAAGGCATTTGATAAATGTGACCATGGAGTGATAGCACACAAAAGAAGGTCAATGGGAATAACCGGTAAAGTAGGACGCTGGATACTCGGTTTTCTGTCGAACAGAACACTACTCACTAGGAAGAAGACCAGAGAGATATCATATAATATACATGTGGAAGATGCTGGAGGGCCAGGTCCCAAATCTACACAGTAAAACAACAACATACAGGAGTGAACAATATGGAAGAAAGTGCAGAATAGAACCAGTGAAGAGCAGGGGTGCCATAGGCACAATCAGAGAACACTGTATAAACATCAGAGGTCCACGGTTGTTCAACATCCTCCCAGCAAGCAGAAGAAATATTGCCAGAACAACCGTTGACATCTTCAAGAGAAAACTAGATCATTTTCTCCAAGGAGTGCTGGACCAACTGGGCTGTGGTGGATATGTGGGCCTGCTGGCCGCTGCAAGCAACAATCCTAGTGGACCAAACTCTCACAAGTCAAGCCTGGCCTTGGGCCGGGCTTAGGGCGTAGAAGAACTCTCAGAACCCCCATCAACCAGGTATCCCGTCTGAACTGCATGGTTTCTTGCCCCTGCTTTCGGATGACCACATTGTCCCAGGTCTGGCTTCTTCTTGATCTGGACTCTTAGATAATTTCTCTGGACCTCAAGGAAGCATATTGGCACGTTCCTATTCATCTGGTGTTCAGAGATTGGTTGGGATTCGTGGTGGGGGGACAAACTTACTGCTTTTGTTGCCTTCCATTTGGCTTGAATCTGGCTCCACACATGTTCACTCATTTAACCAGAGTCATGGTGGCCCGTCTGCATCTGCTAGGTCTTCGGGTTCTGGCCTACCTTAATGACTGGTTGGTGTGCGCTCCCAGCCAGTCTGTGTGTCTGCTAGCCAGGGGTTTGGTTCTTTCCCAGCTTGCTGGGTTCGGGTTCCTGGTAAATTGCCGGAAGTCACAGTTGGTTCCATCCTGTGTTCGGACCTGGCTGAGCCTCGTGTGGGATTCACGGACAGTGACCATCTCTCCCTCCTGCCACGTTGCTCTGGTTGCAGTCCCGCCTTCGGCTGTTTCTGAGGGAGACACGCACCACTTGCTGGTTGCTCGAGCAGTTGTGCGAGAGCCTGAACTTTGCTATACTGGTTTACCCACTGAGCAGGGTTTATTTTCAGAGGCTGTTTTGGTATCTTCGGAGGGGTCTCTTTCGCCGCTCTTGCGATCACTGGGTTCGTTCCCCCAGTGTTCTTGTGTCAGTTGCTACATCTCAAGCTTCCTCTTCGGGGCACCAAGGCGCCATGGTGCCTTTGCACCTTCCTCTCCCCTCGCTTGATGTGTTCATGTATGCCTCGTCTCTCGGTTGGGGCTTTGTGACCAGCACTTACCAGGCTGGCCAGTGGTGCTGGGAGCTTTCCTTCCTTTGAGCTCATAGCACAGTGCGGGAGTTTGCTGCTGTGTGGCAGGCACTGCGGCGGATTCGGCTTCCTTGGGGCTCTGTGATCTGGCTCCATTCGGACTGTTCCCCTGTGGTTCCTTTTCTGGCCTAAGTGTGTAATTACGTCTCTGCAGTCTATGGCTCTTTGGGGCTGGAATTAGCTCTCCATGCCATTCTCATTCAGGAGTGTAAAATGTCCAGGCAAGCGGCTTGTTGTGCTTCATTCCTCTTTCCACGGAGTGGAGGGACGACGCCGCTTCCTTCCTTTGGCTTTGTCAGACGTACGGGCGTCCAGGTTCTGGCTCGGCCGGAATCCTATAGAAGGATGGTGACTCTCATGGCTCCAGCCTTGGTTTCAGGCACTGCTTGCTTGGTGTCTGAACTCGGGCATTTTTCAGCAGCTTCGCCTCTTTCAGCAGGTTGGGCCGGTGAGGTACCTCGCTGATTCTGATTTATCTTATGCTCTTTGCCTCTGGTTTTTCTGCAGTGATTGTATCACCATTTTCATGGTGTTCAGGTGGCTTCCTTGGTAGTGTCCCACCTGAGGCCTCCTGACACCCTCCCTCCCTCTCTCTCTCCCCCCCCCCCTCTGGTCGGCAGTTTTCATCATTCAGGAACTGAGGTGGTGAGCCGCCGGCTCACCCTCTTCCCCTTGGGGGCGGGGAGGCACTAACAAACAGGGGTACTAGTTGGATGATGTGTTGCTTGTTTGTTTTCTTTTTGGAGGGAGTTATTCTGCTTTGTTCGGATGTAGGTCACAGCTTTCACCAGCTTGGGGGCTGTTTTATTTTGCCTATCTTTCTGGGTGCCCTCCCCAATCGATGGCATGTATGACATATTTTAAATGTAAAGTGCTCATAGACCATTGCTCCCTGTGCCTCTCTCGGGGACAAAGGTTCTGGATCGTGGTTCTCGGTATGCATAGGAACTCTCATGACTGATGACCCCAAACTAATATTGCACATGTCAGTTTGAATAGCTTCAGGGAGCCTCCAGATTTCGACCAGAAAATGGCATTTCATTACATTCAACACTGGGTTTTTTTCAGGTATGCTCCAGAATCTATATATTATGGAACATTTACTCACAGTAGTGATGTATGGAGTTACGGTGTAACACTGTGGGAGATGTACACATTTGGTGATCAGCCATATGGAGATCTTCCAGGCCATAAAGTAAGTATTGTATTGACCATCCAAGTTTTTATTGTTGTAAATAAAAATAAAAGATTGATATTTATCTCTGTTAAACCCCACTATTATTTTGTGTTTTTCTGGAAGGAGCTTCATGGTGGCTCCCTAAAGCTATCTTGCTCAGATTGCTCAACACAGGTAGTTAGTAGTCAGTAAATGTTAATTAATTGACAGTTGAGAGGCGGGCTGAAAGAGCAGAGCTCAACCCCCACAAGCACAACCAGTTGAATACTAAAGGGTCACATCAGTCGTGGAAGTTCTGTTTACTGTTTGGCCTACTGGGCAGGACTCTGGGGGACCAGAGTCAGAACCTGGCCCCTCTCATAGAGGTGCAGGGAATGGATGACGATCTGCCACCCCACCGGAAAAAGTTTCCAGAAAGTCCACTAAACTTTATGAACATTTGGAGGGTTCACAGAAAAAGAAGCCTTGAAACTACTAAGTAACTCGGCAAATAATTCACACAAAATCATTAATACCATTTACTGCCACCAGGTAGTAATCTGTACATCCTCGATGTCTCAAATCTGAATAGCTTCATTTTGTGTCCGACCTTCTGCATAATCACGTTAGCCTAGGTTCACCTGCTAATACAGGCTGGAGCATAGATGGTGTCCCTGCACCTCAAGGATGTGTATTGGCATGTCCCCATATGTGCACTGTGTTCAAGGACTGTGTCATGAACTAATGCTCCACAGCATCACTGGAATCCATAGTCTGGCCAAAATCAATACTCGTCTAGGGTTAAGTAAAAGGCTAGCAAAAATACTCCAGTTTACAGGGGCATATAACATAGGTCACAGTAAAACAATAAGAAACTACAGTTTTCTACAACTCATACTCTGTCACATTGTCCAGCTTCTTAAAGCTCTTCGAAGTCAACAGGCCTTAAACTGCACACCCTTGGGACTAGCTGACACCAGGCTCTATCCTGGTGCAGTAGTACACTAGCCCCTCGTATACTTTAAACACAATTACAGGATGGTAATGTCACACTCATTAATTAGGGGGGTGAGGAATCAATATCATATCAAAGCACAGTAGATATCCTCAGGTATCCATCACAATATGAATACATAAAATCACCTACCACCTGGCATAAATGATGTACATCTGTAGAACTAATCCAAGACAGATACTACAACATTCTTATATTTATATATATATTAGTAGTCAATAAACACACAAAATGGCACTCAAAGCAAGAATCGAATGTAACACACCTGCCCGTCTGAGAAATCAAGGAAGTAGGGACACCTCGGGGCCGGGCAGGTCACTAGACACATTATTTCCAACTCGGCAAGTCAACCGACGCTTATCCTTCAAATATCACAAGCTTATATCAAACCATTTACCAATCAATAACTCCTAAATCATACAGTACTGAATAAGTATTTTAATGAACAACCTTACATGAGAATACAATCACTGAATCAGTATATAAGAGAATACATCATGATATATAAAAATAATCAACAGAGAGTTCATATCTACAGGACTTGGTAACACTGGTGGAGACGGTAAGCCAAGGGGTGGGGGGGTGGGGGGTTAAGGGAGGATTTCAAGACGTTACCGGTCAACCGTAATACATAAGTAATACATAAATAAGAATAAACATCATAATTACCAAAATCTTGCCTCTGTGGTATAAATCTCTCAGTATCAGATTATCAGTTAACAGCATGACAAGAGGCCAATGCAATGAACAGTAATGAAATTGATATGTCACAATATACATGCTAGTCATACATCAAGTATCTAAATGTATGCATTCTACATCGTAATACACATAGCATGTCATGTACAACAATACATATAATATCATACTATAGAGATATAATGGTATTTTGCCAAGATACAGGGCATTAGGCTTCTGCTATTTACTCTGCTTCCAATATCTCCACAAATACATGGCATATACTTTTGGTAATAATACATAATATGTATAGGTATATTAACACTTTCGTGCCCCCTGGGATGGTAAAAAAAAAGCAGTATGTGCGCGCGGCGTTTTTGCTGCGTAAGCGTAAAAACAAAAATGTGTATACTCTTTTTACTCTCCTGACCTTAGTTCTCGAGCTACGTATTTCATTTTGGTACCAATGTGTTCGCAATAAAGTTCTCTAGAAGAACATCAGTAAAAAAAAGTCACGAAACGTATAGGGATACCAGCACCAAATAAATAACTACGAAGATGACTCGCCGTGAGCGCCCAACAGCAACAAAATGTTTTTACTCTTGGGATTGTTATCACCTCCACACTTGTCCTACAGCGTTAATTTTGGTATCAAAGGACTCGCAATGAAATTCCCAACACGGTGATATGAATATAAACGTAGAATAATGATTGCGGCCCACCCGCAAGAGTGTGGGAAGTGGTGAAATTGTTACCCAGTATTGGTGACGAGGCGACACATGTGCGATACGGCGCTTTGAAAGTTTATACTTATTTCACTCTTATGACATTATTACTCTATGTACGTCATTCATTTTTGTCTCAATGTGTTCGCAATAGAATGTTCTATGAGCCCGTAGGTAAAAAAGGTCAACAAAGCGTAAGATAGAATAGCGCCAAATATAAAACAACGCTGGAACATATTGGTGAGCATCAAACACACACGAAATGTGTTTACTTTTGTTATGTTTGTCAAGTTTATACTTGTTGCACACAGTTGTTTTTGGTTGTACATTGATCGGAATAAAATTCCCTAAACAGACATATGCATATAATACATGATATGGAGGAAGCATTACCAGTATAAACGGCTAAAGTCACCCACCTGCAACCCGTTTGGGACACTCATGCAGACACACGCTACACCCAAAAAAAAATCTATGAAGGTTCGAGTCTACTTATGGCAGTTTATGTGATACAGTGTTCATTCTGGTATCAAAATACTCGTTTCAGTTTGTAGTTCATGCGATTTTCAGAATCAACTAAATCGCTGGAGGTTCAACATTTGAGTCAGAGTCATCTGACAAAACCGTCTCGTCAAATGGCAGTGGGCCAGACATCTCGGGTTCTGATTCAGTTGCTGCTTCAGCTTGAGGTGTTGAAGTGAACAAGGGCCGCCTCACACCAGATGGTCCAGGAGTTTGCATGGCGTCAGCATAGGCAGGACCTGTGTCATCATTTATGTCTGGAGCGTGCCGCAAGTGTTGTGATACTGTTGCTGTTTGAGGCCAATCTTCCGGGTCCCAGCACAATAGGGCCCAATTTGCCACCTCGTGGAACTGTAGCAATGTTAGCTTTTTTGGATCAGTTGTTTTGTATTTGTACAAAACAAAGGCATTATGCAAAGCCATTTGCAGGAAATAAAACGTTATCTTTTAGGTCCACTTGTGAGTTTTCCGGGTAAAATGGTAATACCATTTGATCCAAGTGGTCCACACCTTTCATGAACTTATTGTACCATGCAGCCTAGTGGTGAGAAAGAGAGCCTCATGGCGTGCAGTTTGAAACAAACCCGAAGTAAATCGGATTAAAATTGAATTTTATACAAATATTTTAAAAGAGGACATAAATTTATGTCCACCATGCGGAAGCGGTGAGGCGAAACAGGACTCCGGGCGGAGTCCTCATCCGCAGAAAGTGTTAACCATTGTGCTGCTCGGGCTCTAAATATGGCAACCCCATCCCCCCCCCCCTTGTGTGCAGGGAAAAAATTCATGGCAAAATTTTCTTTTCTGTGGGGAAAACAGCTCCCTGGAACTTATCGGGCTAATGTATGTTATATTAGACCGGGACATTAACTAAGGAGTTCAGACCTACCAGGGACCAACGCCAGAACCTGGCCCCTTCAGAGAGGTTTCAGGGAGCAATGGCCCTGGAAAACCCCCTTGTGGTTGGGGTTTTCCTTATCTGCCATCGACTGGGATTAGGCACCGCCCAGAAAGGTAGGCATAACAAAACAAACCCCACATGGTAAAAACTAAAACAAAAAACCGAACAGAAAGGTAGAAACTTCCGACAATCCCAAGGAAACAAGCAAACATCACACTTTACTGCCGCGGCGATCGTACGCGCAGCCCTCCCCGCCCTGAGAGGGGGGAACCCCAGACCTCACCGCGCCGGCTGCCTAGCATCAGTTCGTAAGCTAATATCAACCGGGATAGACAATTCTCTGGCCTCAGTTTCCTAGGCGGTGTTTGCCTTGTGTGGCGTTCACTGCCGTGTGTTGTGTTGTGTGGTGGCCAAGAGTACCTCATCAGTGCCAAGGCTGCATGCGCTTAGGGGCTTCCGTCCCTAAGCGCCCTGTGAATACTGCCCCTGTGTGACAGGGTTATCTTCCCTGGGGCGTTCGGGAACCATTCCCGTAGAGGTGGTTCCTGCTCGGCATTTGCCTCGCCCTTGGAACCAGCTGGGGCTTGTTTGGCCCTGGGTAGGGACTGGTATTGTGCTGGTTAGGGCGTCAAGGTGTTGCGCGACCTACCACCTAAGCGGCGACCGGTTCCTGTTGCCTCTGGAGACAGTGTACTTTTGCGGGGGTTTTCTTTTGTTTTTATTTTCATTTGCCTGGTGGGGGTCTGCCTAGTGTGGCTATAGTTACACTGGTAGTGTTTGGTGGCCTTCTGCTAGGTCCCCGTGATTGTACACGTCGCAGGGGTTTTCAGTGTTGTCCTCTACCCCCTTGTTATTTTTGGGTTTCTTAACCGGTTAGCAACACCTTGCCCGGGCTTCCCGTAGTTGTTACCCTACGGGCCCTGGAAACCCCTGTTGGGGCTCGGTGGACCATTGAATGTGTTTTCCAGGTTCGAACCCGTCTTGTACGGGATCGTTGGTTGCTGTGCCATTGTCTCCAGGTGACAGTCGCCACTTTTACCTCCGTCATGTTGCCTGTTGGGTCACTGACACCTTGACCCGGAGTCTTGCGAGAGAGATTCTCTGCTTATTCTCCAGTACTCTCCAGTACCCAGTTTTTACTCTTCAGAGTACAGGCGGCATCCGTGTTGCAAGCTAGGTTAGGTTGGTTTCCCACTCG